CATCCTCTGCCGTCCCCTTCTTCTTTTGCCATCAATTGTTCCCAGCATTAGGCTCTTCTCCAGGGAGTCCTTCCTTCTCACTAGGTGGCCAAAGTATTTGAGTTTCATCTTCAGCATCTGGCCTTCTAAAGAGCAGTCAGGGTTGATCTCCTCTAGGACTGACTGGTTTGATTGCCTTGCAGTCCAAGGGACTTGCAGGAGTCTCCTGCAGCACCACAATTCAAAGGCCTCAATTCTTTGGCACTCAGCCTTCCTTATGGTCCAGCTTTCACAGCCATACATTGCAACTGGGAAAACCATAGCCTTGACTATACGCACTTTTGTTGGCAGGGTGATGTCTCTGCTTTTTAGAATGCTGTCTAGATTAGCCATAGCTTTTTAAGAATGCACTTTGGGGCTGGAAGACAGAGAAGCCCTTGGCTTTGGCAAGCCTTCGAAGGCACCTCCTGGCATCCTCTTGAAGATCTGACTGGATGCAGTTAAGAGGATGTTGCCGGTCGGTGCTGAAGGTGTGGAGGTGGCCCATAGCGGTGAAAGTGGCCTCCCGTGTGCCGGGCTGGGCCTGGCTGGGGGAACTGGTTTGTGTGGGTGAAAGTGGGTAGTGCTGCAGAAGATGGTTCAGTCGTGTTTCCTCCCCCAGTTTCCTACATTCTATCCCAGGAAGGGTTGGATGTCACCCCATGTCTCCCTCAGTGGGGCTAGCAAAGTACAGAGAGAACCCAGGAGGACAGACTCCCTGTGGCCTTTCTGCACTCACTGTAAGGGCGATAAGCATGCTTCTGTTTCAACTCTTTCCAAAAGGAGCCGTGTTCTCCCTTTCATCCTCCTTGGCTTCCATGCCTTTCAGATCTCTCTCCCCTAAATAAGTTAACAGTCCATTGGCATCACTCCATTCAGTCCCATTTCCTGCACTCTCTGTACCCCTGCACTTGGCATTTAGCATTTCTATTTCTGAACCACTGACCCAGCAGTGGGATTGTGAAGTGTTGGTTTCGCTCTCCCAACCTCACAGGTGCTGTGGACAGGAAGGGAAACGGTTTACATTAACTCTTTACTGGCTTGGGAATGATTCGGTTCCTTCGCTTTGCTTTCCTTTGCTTTCTGGGATGGTGTTGTAGCTTAAGGGCATATATCTGTCCTGGGGGTACTTCTCAGAAACATGGTTTCACGTTCCTTGCAGTGTATGGAGGCAGGCTCTTACATGGAAGGAGAAGACAGGACAGGTGTTCTAGGTTCGCTCAGAGGGCCAGCCAGCAGAGCTGGGACTTCTGGACGGGGAGAAAGAAAGCATCCCTGAACGATGTCTCAGCTGGACATGGTGCCAAGAACTGTGGCCTCCAGGAAGCCCATTTCAAGGGACAGAGAACACCTCTCGGGGAGCACTTTTCAGGCACAGTGGCCTGGTCATGCCAGGAATGGTTCTAAGAGTCTAGTCTCGAACCTTGCTCCTCTGTGGTGAGTGTCAGTTGAATTATGAGGCCTTGGGGGCGCCTGCCCTCATCCACATGGCCAGGAGTCCCCCTTTCCAAAGAGCCGCCCTCGGTTTGAAGGGCTGCAGAGGCATCCCCTATTTGAAGGACTGTCTTGTCCGGTTCTGGTTTAAAGGTAAATAACGGTCAGAACTGGGTCCATCCACAGTGAGCATCAGAGCAGCAAATGGAAGCGGTGGGCCCACCAGGGTGGGAGGGACTTTCCTTCTATTTTCATCGTCGTAATGTTCTCTGTATGCATATGCCAATCGGTGGCCTCTTCTGTCCTACCTTTTGCAGATGCATTCCCTCTTTTTTGGCAGTTTGTGAGAGGCCCACCAAATGGCCACTGTGACTGGACACCCCACCGCCAAGGCCATCCCATGTTTGCACCTGAAACTCAGCCATGCAACCTGCACGACCCCGCGTGACTGGGGTCGGGGGGCGTACAGGCTGGAGCTGCCTGCATGGCTGTGTAGATCAACATGGCTGAGGATCGGTGTGCCCCCTGAGGAGGTGGGGGAAATTCTGACGTGAGGGGGGGATGGCCATCTTGCAGCCCTTGGGTATGGGCATGCTGGTTTTGTCCTGGTGGCTGTTGGGGAGGGCAAGCCAGCCGCCAGCCTCGTGTGCTGTGACCCCAGTCCCCACCGGCTTGGGTGGAGGTGCTGGTTGGCGATTCCTTAAGGAGCAATGGAAGGCTTGACTCGAAGCACACTCTCACAGGCGTGTGGCGTCAGTGCTCGGCATGTGAACAGGGCTTGCGGCAAGTGACCGCGGTGGACTGCACATTGGTGGTGGATATGTGGTAAAATGCTCCTTGCTATTCAGTGGAATCTTTATTTATTTATTTATTTTCCGATTTATATCCTGCCCTTTTCCTACAAAGGGCTCAAGGCAGCTTACATCATTCTCCTCCTCCATCGTATCCCCACAACAACAACCCTGTGAGGGAGGCTGGGCTGAGAGTCTGTGGCTGGCCCAAAGTCACCCAGTTGGCTCCATGGCTGAGTGGGGACTAGATCCCAGGTTGCCTGTGTCCCAGTCCCACCCTCTTAACCACCACACCACACTGGCTCTCTATATGCTGGTGGTACCTCAACTCATTTCATCCTGCTCCAAAGTGCCACGTTTAGCTGAAACAGAACATCTAAAATGCTTTGCAGAGAAAAAGGTCCTCAGGTTGCCTGAGTCCCAGTCCCCTGCTCTTAACCACGATGCCACACTGGAATATCAATGCTCAAATCCTCTAGAGTAGTTTGAATGGCATCTCACTGCAGTTACTACCACTTTGCAAATCGTGTCAGGTCTTCACCCTTGCATATCAGGTACAACTGTGTAGTCAACATGCCCATCCACCTTGCGCTGATGAGTTGCTCTGCCTGGCTTCCTTCCCCCCTTCTAGGCACTGCCATGGGATGGAGTATGACCCAGAGATTTCCTCCTTTGAAAGTTCAGCTCATCTCATGAGGCTCCTGGCTGAAAATGTTTCCATGAATCAGGAATATTCAGAGCTTCCCAAGAAGAATGGCTTAGGTTTGGAAGGCATCCCCTCTTCTCACAAGCCACCGGCCTTGCCTCCTGGGCCCAGCAAGCTGGAGGCCAATCCTGAGAACTATATGATGACGTCAGGAGATATGTATGACAACAACTCGCTCAGTTCCCTCTTCGATGCGATCCACGTGGCTCCACCACAGCAGAGATGGCAGCCGGACAGCACCTTCAAAGAGGACCCTCAGGAGGTCAGGATGGCCTGCAGGCTTGCCCAGTTCCTTTTCTTGCAGCAAAGTGACATCGGACATTAATGGTGCTGAAGAGAGAAATGATGTCGCTGAAATCTAGTACCTGCTGGAATTCAGTTCAGAAAGGTTTGACAGAACCCAGGCTCAGAAATCAGGGCTGCCAAACCCTTTCTGGAGCAAAATTGCATGGCTCTGCCCATCTCTGTGCAGGATGCGACTTGTATGGTATAAATGGGAGCAGCCCAAGTTGCACTCATTAAGCATGCAGAGGGAGTGTCCTTTATGTGCCAAGTTCGCCGTCATGGGGATTTGGCAGAATGAAGTGCCTTGTTTTGTTGGAAGGACGTTGTGTCATTCCCTCCTCCTGCTTCCTTAAATCATTTCTCCATGTACGTCGGTCAGCCGTGCCTGCAGAACTGTTTGCCAAACGACCCTCTCCCATCCCATCGGGCAGGTGCAAAGCAGCCAGCGGTCAATAAAAAAGAAAAGAGGAAGACAAGACGTAGGCCGTGTCCATCCCGCAACAATTGCGGTCCCATCCTCTATTCCTATCTGGTGCCCAAGGGCACCCGTGCGTGTGCGTGAGAGAGAGAGAGAGAGAGAGAGAGAGAGTAGGGTAACAAAAGGCGTGATATGGACAGCAGAGGTTAATGGAGGATCTCCCACGCCGAGTGGCAGAGTCGCCACGCTCCTGAGCCTCTGGGGAAGGGCGTGCGCACCACCCTCGCCCTGCACCATAATGAGGGTTGTTTGCTCTCATTAGGCAGCCATTGCATCATGTGGCCGAAGCAGGAAGAGGAAGCACATTGCGGCTTCCTGGGTATTGCCTAGACTGAGTATGAGGAAGATGCTGACTAGGAAGAGGTTTGGGAGGGGCAATGTTTATAAAAGATTACCTTTGTGCAACAATGCACCACTTCCTTGGCTCTCTCTGTTCCCCGGCGTTTGCTCTGAAAGCCAGTCAAGAAAGTGCTGTTGGATCGCTAGACTCTAGCGTTCCAGGTCCTATGAAAGACCTGAGCCTGTGACCTTTGTTAGAGTCAGTGGCTCGAGAGCAGGGCATGGTTCCTTTCACGGAAGCCAGCTTTATTATGTCTACCGATGCTGTTGCAGCCTGTCACTTCAGCAGATGTGGCTGTTTTTCAGCAGTTTTATCTCCGTGCCGGCCAAAACTTCCTCTGCTAAATTCCTGCATGTCGATAAAACACTGTTCAGACCTTCTAGTCTGGCTTTCTTCAAGATTCAAAATGACTTTTTGCTTGCTAGCTTGCTTGCTTGTCCTTTTGGCCTTGGTCTCCATAGGGTATTGAATGTAGGGTTTCTATTCTTGATCAGTTCAAACGCAAAAGCAGCTTTTCTGATTTTGTATTTCTACAGGCACTGATTTTCACGGATATCTTGAAGTCCCAGACAGAAGCGCCATGTTCGGAGGGCTATTCTGTCAAAGATGCCAAGAGGTAACTGCTGCCTCTCAGGAAAAAGGCATGGTTAAGTGCTTGTCCCATCCTTCCTCCCAGGACACCTGGATGGGACACAGCAGGGCTGCAAAGCTTCAGCCCAGCTGGCATAATTTGCCTCACTAGTGCGCAGCATTTCGCTTAAAAAGCAGAGTCCTCCCCGCTCCTGCCACTTGTCACTCTTTTGCTTTATATGCTATTAGGACAGACAAAGGAGAGCATTCATGAGGCTGGGCTGCCACCTCCGGTTTGGCCCTCTGGTGATCCTGCACCAGTGCATCCGTCTTCCAGCGCAAAACAGCACCAGCTGTGCATGGACTTAGCTCTGCTGGAAGCAAGGGCAAAATGTAACAGATACTCCTAGTGTGCTCGCTTTATTAGGACAGCTGATGAACACAAACATGTGCGCCCTTCTGAGACCCCCAGGGAAGAGGTTGTTCGGGGGGACAGTAGTGTGTGAGGAGGCTGATGGGATATCTGTGTGGGCAGCCTTTCCCCCACCCTTATCCCTCCCCTCTTGCCAACATGCATCTCCTAACATCTTTCCCGATGGGTTCTGCTTGGTACATGGCACCCCTCCTGGTTCTGAAGAGCTTAAAATCTTGTCCATTTTGTGGAGTTTTGGTGTCCTAAGCAAGATGTTGCCCAGGTGTTAATTTACGGTTTGTCTTTTTTCCTGATTGTTGCACTCAAGTGACTTTGAATACACATTGGGATCCCCTAAAGCCATTCACATCAAATCCGGAGATTCCCCCATGGCCTACCTCAACAAGGGCCAGTTCTACCCAGTCACCCTGAAGACAGGTGGAGATGCCAAGTGTTTACATTTGACTTCAAACAAAGTGAAGGTAAGCACAGCTGAGACCTTCAGAACTGGAAGGATGACCTGAACCAATGGCTGCTCAGGCTTAAAAATGAGTGTGCTTTGTGGAAAAAAATTGAAAAAAAAAGCATAAGGCATGTGTAGCAGGGCATTCACTGAAAATAATTGGATATATTTCCCATTTTTTCTCTGGAAATTTTCTGGGGAAAAACAGTTTTGCAGAGATTTCCAGTCCTTCCCATCTCTATTTTTCCCTGGCCATCACAGTCACACTTCTGGTTTACGGACGGACAAATGTGTCAACTTTCCTTTCTTGCTTTCATAATGTTGAGTTCTTCCTCTTTCAAATACGAAAAAATAGTGAATTTGAATAAATTCTTAACAGAGACGAAGTGAAGCAAAATTCTTACCCTTTCGCACTAGCTGCATTGAAGCGCTCAGAGCAATTCCCAGCCTGGAGAGGTCATGATAGCACCTGCTGGTTATTAAAGATGGGGACCTTCCTGGGGGAACATAATCAGCACCAGCATAACTGACTGTGCTGGGTTCAAACCTGGGTCTGGACAGAGTCTGTTTCTCCCAGTTTCCTTTTTTTAACCTTATTTGCCTCGCATATAGAAAATGTCTTGGGTCCTAAATCTTCACCCAAAACTAAATTCTCACCCATCCCTATTTCTGTTTCCTGAAATCAGAATGATTCTAAAGCCAATCATTATGGAAGTTTAAGAAAATGGGGTAGCGTTAACCAGAGCTGAATTTGACTTTTTGCAAATGAAGTTACCAATTAACGTAGAATCTCAATGCACTTCTGCCTTGTTCCCAGAGTGTCGTGATGGTGGTTTTTGACAATGAAAAGATTCCGATGGAGCAGCTCAAGTTCTGGAAGCACTGGCACTCCCGCCAGCCCACAGCCAAGCAGAGAGTCATTGATGTCGGTACGGAATGTGGGCATCACAGTTTTCTAGGAGGAAAGGAAAATGAATCCCATGAGCTGCCCTTCTTCTAGGGCCTGGGTTTTGAAGCAGAGGCCCCTGGGCCAAACCTGCCCCGGGTGGCGGCATCACATTCTGACCCTTTGGATCAGCTCAGCTGGCCAGCCCTTTTCCGCTCCCCTTTCTTTCTTCTGCCCAGCAATCTTTTGATCGCCTCATGGTTTTTGCACAGTGCTTCCTCCATTTGCACTGTAAGATGATTTTCAAAGCAGTAAATCATGGGTTAACTACACAAACAACCCAGAGTTAACTTAAGATTAGTTCTTAGGTTAAACGTGGGTTGTTTAGCCCACCAACAACCCCTAATGTACATAGTTTGAACATCACGGAGCAACCTACAATCAGGCTGATCAGAGGCTGCACAATCAAGTTGGAAGTGACTTGTGCATGGCACATAAAATCTAGCACATGATTCGTTGCAATTACCTGCAAGTAGGGCCACTTCAGGGTGGCAACCCAACAAATCTGCAAGGGGAAATTCAGCACCCCCTCCTTTCCCCACCGTGCCTACGAAGACAGGCCAGTTTGGTCACACCTCTTCAAGACAATGGTAGCTATTTAGCTCAACAACGTATAATTGGCTAGTTGAGGAATAACTGCCAGTTTTGTGCCTTCCAGCGGACTGTAAAGAGAATTTCAACACCGTGCAGCACATCGAAGAGGTGGCTTACAACGCTTTGTCTTTTGTCTGGAACATTGCTGAAGAAGCAAAGGTATGATCTGAAGGGCACGGTTCCCACTGCTGCGCTACCGTGCTGTCCCCCAGCTGCAGCAATTCCATGCGCATTTGACTCCCTCAGTGTCCCCGAAGCACCTTAAGAGCAGTGGCCTGACGGGGTTTTGGGAAGTCCCGGTTGGATGTCCCCTGCTTCACACCCAGAATGATCGTTCCCGAGGCGGAATGCTGCATCCACAGAAATGCACCCTTGCCACCACAGTGCTACCCTGTAGTACTTACTCAGGAGTAAGTTCCACCGAGACTAATGGCACATACTGCCAGCAAGTGACTATGCATTCATTCAAAGGACATGGTGTCCTGCCTTTCAGCCAAAAAATCTCCCAGAGCGGTTTACAGCCCTCTGAAAGAGGGCAGCGCCTGCCTGCAGTCCCAGGGCAGTCCCGCGCATGCGAACTCAGACGTGCACGGGGCTGAACGAGAAGTGCTCCCAGGTGGCTTGCAAGTGCAGTTCTTTTGGTTCTGAGGTTTCAGCAGGCCCTGGCCTTTCTTTTGAGTCCAACAGCAATCTTGGTCTTTTCCTGACAACTGTGAGATTACAAAACATTAGGGCAGCTTCTCCACTCCCCTTCCATCGAAATATCCCAGGCATGCAGATCACCCTCTGGGGAACGTAGGCTGGCTGCAGCAGGCCTGGGGCTGCTGAAGGCTGAGAATTCAGAGAGAACAAAATCCCCAGAGTTGCTGTCAGAGCCTTTTCCAGTGCCTTCCACCGATCATGCCATGCCTCCAAACTCTGAGCAAGGCTCTGGTCCTCATGGAGGTTAAGGCCTTTCATGGCTGGTGGTCATGATGGGGATATAAGCTTCAGGATCAGAGGCAGTATAGCTTCAGAAGCAATTTCTAGGGCACATGAGCAGGAGAGCACTATTGCAATTTTATTCTGTGGGTTGGCGCCCAGGTGGGTTGTTTGAGTGGGCCCTGTGTGGACTGAAGAAGGTTTTGTTTGGGCCAGCATGGCAGCTCTTCTGGTCGTAGGGCCTCCTGTCGCAAATGCACCCCGAAATCTTTTCTGGACTAGTGTTGCATTCGCTGGGCAGCTTGTGGCCCTCCTGATGCATTGGGCCATGACTCCCATTGGCCCCAGCCAGGAGTCAACAGTGAGGGATCATGGGAGGCGTAGGCCAAGCCATTTGGAGGGCTGCAGTTTGCTTGCCCCAAGAGCACTGCTCCTGCAGCACCAGGTGGTCTAAGAAGCCATTTTTGCAGCCGATTCAATTAGCCTCGTCATCCTACTTTCCCCCCAAGACCGTTTTCTCTTGCCTTTGGCCATGCTTCATGTGCACATGTGCACACCCCTCTCTCGCACACGCACACACGTTCCTTCACACAGGCAACATCCCTGTAAAAGAGAAGCATCACTGGGAGTACCCGAGTGCGATCTTTTAGCTAGGACAGCGATTCCTAATGTGGGTGGCACAGCCCAGTGGGGGCGGTAGAAAGATCCCGGGGGCAGTGGTTGGTTGTTTCAAATTTGCAGGAGAGCAATAGACCTGATGCAAAGAAAGAAGCGTGTTGGCACTAAGGCCGTGGCCCAAGAGGAAAGGGGTTAGCAGCCCAAAGGGATAACCCAAAAGGCTAGCCAGTGGGCTCGCAGATACTCCCTGCAGAGTTGTAACACTTCAGTGTGGCTTCCCTCCACATCATCCTTCTGAAACTCTTGACACTCCTTAAAATATATAGAAATTGAACCCCACCTCTGTCTCCCTTCCCTTCATCCTGGCTGCCTCTGCACTAGCAATGCAGATGCTCCTCTAAGCATATTGTATCTAAGATGACACCATCTCGATGGTCTTGCATTGGCCAGAATTCCATATATCCTCCAGACCTGTGCGGACTGCCGCTGAATCGTGCCCCTTCCACGCTTCCTTGCAGGTGTTTATCGGAGTGAACTGCCTGAGCACGGATTTCTCCTCCCAGAAAGGTGTGAAGGGCGTCCCTTTGAATCTGCAAATAGATACTTACGACTACAGCACCGGGACAAACCGGCTTGTCCACCGAGCTGTCTGTCAGATCAAAATATTCTGCGATAAGGTAGAGTGAATCCCTTTTAGCAAGCTTTCCATGAGGGCTGGTGGGGGAGACGTACAGAAGGCTTGGAACTGGCAGCTCAGCCAGAGATCACAACTAAAGCTTCCAAAGCAAAGGCACCACCTTTTTGGATGAGCTTTTAAAGTGCCGAATTGCTAGATGGAGAGCTTGGTTTGATGAATCTTAAAGACGGACAAAGCCAAAGGTGGGGAGCCTCTGGTCTGTGGTGTCTTGGATGTGACAAATGATCTAATAAAGCAAAGCGAACCTTTTTTCCTAAGCGTAATTCCTGCACAGAGTGGGATTTTTGGGCTGGTTGTGGCAACTGGGAAAGGAAGTGTTAACCATATCCTCCTTGTGTACTGCCGCAGCTTGAACAGGACAGCCACTTCTGTATGGCAATGTCAACTCAGGGGAACTAAATCCATTTGCATGAATGGGGTCTTTTTCTAAGCCTAATGGCTACAGAGTGGAGGAGAGAGAAAAGGGATGGGTGGGGATGGGTGGATTCAGTGGGTGCAGCACTCCTTATGTGTGTGACCGGCTTTGACCCAGCACACCGGGGACATGGAGCCCCCAGAAGCCCACCTCCCCCCCCCCCACTAACCTGTGCAAGTGTGCACGACTGCTGAGCTTCCGGTATGCAGATGCGGGGAGAATCATGATCAGGAGATTGGGTTTCTGGATGCTCCTGGGGTGGAAATTGCAGGTGACCCCACCAGGCTGTGGACTCCTGTGGAACAGAGACAGGGAGGGCCATTGGCTTTGTGGCACTGGAGTGTTCGTGACACCGTGCTCGGCTCTGCTCCAGGATATTCTGCAGTCCGTGGAACCTGATGGGCATCAGCCAGAGCAAAGACAGCCGCACGCACTCCAGAGCGCATGATCATGCCTCTTGCATGGCAGCGCAGGCAACAAAGGCGGCGTTTTTGGGTGGTCCGGGAGCTGTTGACTCTCTTCTCAGAAAATGGAGCATGGCCTTCCTCAGACTCCATTAGGAGTAGAAGGTGGCCCAGAAATGCATAAATAAAGCAGGGCTCCCTGTGACCGTTAGTGTTGCAATTCGAGGACAGAATGGCTTATCTCCACAATGAGCACTGTTGTCGGTGTGGCTGTTGGAAGCCACTGCCTGCTTCATAATAATATACATATGCGGTATACATATTTCTCCTTCCACGTCTTCCCTGCTGGCTGTGGGAAGGTTGCTAGGCAGGTGTTTAGCAATGCATGAGAAGCGTCCATGGGTCTGTGAGTAAGATGGTTACCCATCATCTTTTGACTTTCCCTCCAGGGGGCAGAGAGGAAGATGCGAGATGATGAGCGCAAGCAGTTCAGACGGAAGGGGAAATGCCTGGATGCCAATAATAACGGTGCGTAGATGGGGCTGGGCAGCTAGTTTGGGCTGCTCCTAAGAGTGCCTTCAGGGAACAGGGCTTGATCCTGCTCCAGTTATCAAGAGCCAGAGTTCCCGGGCCATTTGCGCCACCTTCAGACTAGCAAGAGCCCCAGTCAGGCCAGAGTAGGCAGGCCCCAGCCGGACTTAAAGGCCTGCTCCAAAGGGGCATCTCTTCACTTATATTGTTTGCTTATTATGGAATTTATACCCTGACGCATGCCCTCCAGCAAGCTTACAAAACAAATCCATATTCAAGGCATAATAAGTAACATGTCAAATAAAAACACCAAGAAAGCCCACCAAAGATAACGGCGCGATAAAAAGCCAGTCCAAGGAACTTGACACCATTGAAGCACACAAGGAAAACAAGCTGCCCTTTTGTTTATTCATTCGTTTGATGCAACCCTGCTCTGCCTTTTCCGCCGAAGAACCAAGACGGCCTCCATGATGGCCTCCTTCCTCCATCTTTTCCTCACAACAAGCTTGTGAGGAGGAAAGTCCGTGCCTGACCCAAAGCCAACCTGAGCTCCATGGCAGACGTGGGGACCTGAACCGGGACCTTCCAGCACTCTAACCACTACGCCACTCTCCCTGCCGGGTGTGGCCCAGGGTAGAGCAATGCAGAGGCCAGGTGGAGAAGGCTGGACTGACGTCCCACAGGTTGGGCACCACAGCCAGAGAGGCCACTGACAAACTTCTAAAAGCGGAAGGCGCTGCAAGTGATCGCGGTTTGCAGGCAGGCTCATGCAGAGGAATGGCGCCATTTCAGATGCAGCTCCAAATGCATATCAGTCTTCGAGTTTCTTCCCCACCTCCCTTCCTCTTCAGCATCGAATCTTTTAGATTGTGCATTCAAATGCAGGGCAGGCATTTTACTTGTGATCTCTTTATAGTATCCAGTTATGAAAACTCTCTAGTAATTTTGTTGAGGGATAGAAGGACTTATTCTGGAATTTTTGGAATTTGAATTTTATTTTTTCCTATCCTCAGATACATTTAATCATTTTTCTCTGAGGCTGAGATCTGGCAAGTTACAGAAACTTGCTTCCCATGCAAACCAGCCAGGCTTCTCGGTGTTTTATTTCAGAAGACTTTAGGGAGAACTGATTGATTGGACTGCATTAGGGTCGAGATACAATCCCGTGCATATTTGGATAGGAAAAAAGTCCTAAAGTTCCCAGCATCCTCCAGCCTGACAGGCTAGGATGGCACCTTTTGCTGTTCGGTTTTGTTCTGGGTCAGTTTCATGGGTGGGTTTTGGCTTTTTCTAAAAATGTTTTTATGAGCTTGTAGTCCTCTGCAAGTAGCAGTTTTGAGGGGCAGCCATGGGGAGCGGGGGGGGGGGGAATAATAGTTTTGGCTGAGGAATCGGTGTGGAGGTTGCCTCCTACAGAGACACAGCTCAGATCCAAATTCCTCTTTCCCAGTATGGAAAGGAAATGGTGGGAGCCCAACCGCAGGCTTCCTGCTGGCTGAGGGGCTCCAGGAGCTGCAGCAACGCAGGGCCACGGATGACTTGGGCCGCTCTCTGTTTCTCTCAAATGGCAAATCTCTGGTAGCAAACATGGTGGGAAAAGAACCTTCATTTTTGTCTTGCAGGTCTGAAAAGCTGTTTGGTTTCGGGCTTCCGAGGCAATGAAATCACATACCTCAAACCACAGGCTGACTTGGAAACCCAGCCCGTCCTGTTTATTCCCAATGTTCATTTCTCAAACCTGCAGAGATGTGGAACAGTAAGTCCCTTTATGACCCCAAACCTCTGTCAAAGTGTCTTTCGGAAGCTCACTGCTTTTACAAGCAGGCAGACGCACTGATGAAGCAGAAGGCCATTTAGCCTCTTTGTCCTATGCTGCTTCCTGATCAGAGACAGCAGGCCTATGTACACCTGCTGGGGAACATGGGCTGGAGGCTGGTGTTGTACAGCATGCGTGTCCTGCTTGTGGCTTTCCTGAATGTGGCTGGTCGGGCCACTGTGAGAGCAGAACTAGCTGGATCTTTGGCTTACACAGCAGAGCCCCTCCCACTCCCAAGGTGGAATGAATCCTCCAGCGTCGTCCTCTGACAGATTTTAGATCTATTCAAGGGTAGTTACTAGACACCCAAATGAACAGGGGCCCAGGCACAGCCCCAAAAGCGCATAAAATTTGCACGTGCTGACTTAGATCAATCTGAGCAAATTTGGAAATAACATCTAGGATTTGTGTATCTGCATTTCATGGAAGGCAAAGCCAGCCAATTAATTTCTCATTTCAATCACCTAGAGTAAAATCAGTTCTTCAATTCATTTGCACCCAGCCGTGGATTATTCCAAATCAGTAGTTGCTCTTCTGTTGAAATCAGCTTGCAATGGGTGCGAAAGGAATGCACAGTGAGTGGCCAGTAGGTTTTCTCTTTCCCACACAGACATATTTATTTGTTTGTTTGTTTATTTATTTATTTTATTAAAACATTTCTATGCCGCCCCTTGCCGAAGCCTCGGGGCAGCTCACAACACAAAATAAAATACAATAAAATACAAAAATAACAATATAAAATTCACAATATAAAATAAATAACAATATAAAAGAAGTCGCCCTGGCCAGATAAATAAACAAATATTGTTAACAATTAAAATGACGCTTAAATAAAAAGGTCTCCGCCTGGCGCCGTCGTTATTTGTTTTT